CGTGGCTAGCCATACAAAAGGGAAATCTATAAATTCCAGAAAATGTGTGGCTGCTCACGTGGAACTCCCCCCTTCATTCTTTTCGAGGCCTCCTAGCCACTCACAGCAGCGACCCGCTTGGCAGGCTCGCGGCGATTTTGAGCATAGCCGCTGCGGAGGCCGGTCTCCACTAGGCTCTCACATGGTTGGATCAAACTAGCCCCACTGGACGGGCGCCCTGCCTCTCTCATGTGCTTCTCTATGCGTCTTACAAATTAAATTTGGGATGTCAGGCGCCACCCATTTGAGCAGCTAAACGTGCAGGTGCTGTGCAGCCCTCTGGAGAAGGCGCAGCTGAGAGACGAAGATCGATTTTTTCCCAGAGCCCCTTAAGGGATGCATCTTGGCCAGTCAGCGGGCCACCTCTACCAGCTGATTTAGAGCAGCTTGGTTCAGGTGGCGTTCCTGTTTCCCCGCAGCCTTTGACTTCGCGCGTCGAAAGGCCTTCGCCCTGGGAAGGCCCCGGCAGGCGCGCGAATCCCTGAGGGGTGCTAGGATATGGTTGGGTGAGAACAGATGGCACTCCCCTGTGAGAAACATAGTAGGTATCATTTTTTGTTACTAGTCACGGTCCTTCTGTGTGATTTGCGACTACCGTTGCAAGTATGCAAGAAGGGCTTTGGAGGTTTAATCCTCGAATCCTGTCCCATTTGGTTTCCGCTCTTTCTGGGTGAAAAAGGGAAAGACGAAAATAAATCAAACAAACAGAGAAACAACATGAATGAAATGGAGGAGCGCGCAAAGAAGAAAAAACTTTGGAGGGTGTTTTATATTTAGGGCAGTCGCAACTTTGTAGTACAAGCCTATTGCAGGAAACGCATCACATTTTGAGATTCCACCAAGCATGTGTGTTCTCAGGACTTTAGTAGTAGTTTAGCATTGGCTAATTTAAAGTGAGTTTTGCGATGTTTGTTGCGGCTGAGGGGAGCTTCCTTATTGGGGGTAGGTAGGTTGATTAATAGGGAAAATTGATAAATCAAGGAGACACGGAAATAACCATGTACAGTAACATAATTGCATAAGCAAACTTGACATAGCTAAACAAAGCAAACGAACTAAATACATCAATAAAGCACCGATATGAAATCGTTTCATAGTCCGTGACCGTCCGAGCCAAGCGGTTCAACTCAGTAGTTGCGGCTTGGAAGTGGTCGCGCAGCCCGATTTTCAACAAGTTTCTGCACTTAGAAAGGTTAGAGCGGCGGCTTTGATTTTCAGTGGGTGCACTGGAAATGAGGGAAGTTCAGCTAGAGGATTGGCCATTTCACCTGCACGTGGGGCATCAGTACAGCTGGTGGAACCTTGTGCTCGGAGGTGGCATGCCGCGCGACGGGCAAGGAGCCCTACCGAGAGGCGCCTTGCGCTGTAACGACTTGGCCTGCTGGCATTCACAGCGAGTTGACCTTTTGACCTGTTGGTTTGCTGGTTTTGTTCCGCGTTAAGTCATAGTCCGCGAAGCATTGCCTTTCATCTCAAGGTCCTTTAGCAGAGTGAGCTTTGGATGCGGATGTGGACTGCTTGGAAAAATGGCATGGACATCAGAAGGAGGTCCTCTGGGCTTAGCACGGGAACCGACTGGCCAACCAAGCAACCGACCAACCAATCAAGCAAGCAAGCAACGACCCACCCACCGACTCACCCAACCACCCAAACCCACAGGATCTAAGCAAAGTAACAACCCTTGTTCCGTGCGATCATGTTGAGATCTTTGCTTAGTCCACAAGAAAGAGCCGCCGCAAAGCTGGCCACTTGGCAAATCCCCAGCACTTGACTGATGCCTTCTGTTATTTCCCTTTTTCTCGTAGATGAGAAGCCACTGACGCTTGCAGAGTTTTCGTGAACGACTGTACAATGTTCCAACCACTATTGTTTGAACAAGCTCCTGTTGACAGGCCCTTTGAAGGTGACGAGTGCCTGGTGCCTCGAGCAAATTGAGGTAAAACCCACAGTTCAGGCTCCCGGGCCGGGAGCAGCCGGCCAGAACCCCTTCGGTGCCAACCAGGAGCCGCGTGTGAATCGCGGTATTGGGCGGGGAGGGGTTTGCAGGGAAGATGAACATGGAGGACCCCTCCCCACCACGTCCCCCCGAAGGTATGTCGGGGTGTGGTTTTTGTGGTTGTTTGCTTCTTTGGTTCTGTTCATTCTGAGCTAGGGCTGCAAAGGCAATCATGTTCGGTCAATTTCGGCTGCCATGCCAGGTTTGGGAAAGTTGACCGGTGGGGCTTCAAGGCAGCAGAGACCCAAACCTCGATCTGGATTTCCAGTTTCGGTCATCGTTTGGGGTCTGAAAGGTTGCCTGTGCTGTTTAAAGGCAATTGTGAAGGGGCGGGTGATATCTGAAAGGACACCAAAAGTTGCTTCCTGTTTCCTTTTTTTAAACGGGGGGGTTCCGTTTCAGCCTTCAGCCAACAAAGGTCACCCTTGGGTATGACCAAGATTCACCTTTCGAACCGTGTGACCGTCTAGAGACTGGCAAGCAGTTCACGGGGTCAAAGACCAACCCATGTATTGCTTTGGCTGTCGCCGCAGGATAATGGCGCGAAAGCCTCATGGCAGGGTTACGCGATTCAACCCTGGTTTTCAAGGTTGAAGCCGCAAGTCTTTAAACAACCTCCTTTCGGTTTAACCCTACCAGCTACCAAGCACCCATGATCTGCAAATGGCTGGAAATCCTGCGCCCCTCTTGTCAATCAGAGCCGGAACTATCCAAAAGGCGACTTAGCCCCCTTTCGAGAACTCAAGCAAATCGATGGTCGCCAAGGCCTTGTAAAGCAACCCATGTGGCGTTCGCGTGCGAGGACCCGGCGGACATGTTCAAGCAGCTGCGCGCGCCCCAAATGATGTCATTGGCAGTTGCTTGGTTAGGGGGCGCGCCAGGGGCTGACCCAAGTTTCCCAAGTTCCCAAATTAAGTTTCCCTCTAAGCCACCATCTAAAGACCATCTTGCGCAGGTCATTTTAATGGACCCACAGCGCTGAGTATGAATTGGCATGAGCTCACCTGTGCCTTACTTCGGGGTAAGTGTGGTCGAGCAATGATTGTATACATTAATTGTAACAAGTGCAACATTCAATATGGGGTGAGGGTGTCCCGTATAGAGGGGAGCCTTCACTGTTTGGAGAACCCCTCAACGATGCCCCATTGGGAAACCATCTCCCCGAAAAGTTGTTCTGTTCTTTCAGCAAGAAAAACCTGGATGTATTTCTCATGTCCACCAACGGGTCCAATGTCATCCCCATAGAATTGGGGTGAAAGTAGATGGCGCAACTGCCGGATTTAGGTTTTCGATTCCTCCGTATAACGTGCAGACAGTGGACAGAAATGGACAAAGTGCCATCTACTTGCACGATTCTTTGCAAATCCAATGAAAGGGCCACGTGCCGCGCGAGGTTCGGCGAGATGAATGCAGGTCCAGGCCCGCAACATGTTGGCAGAGGGGCAGTTCAAAGCCGACCTCGGCTTCCCACGCTTGGTCCATTTTCAGCGGGTTGGTCGCCCAACTTGCCAGACTTGCGCACCATGAGCGCCCAAAGAGTTAGAACGGCCGTGTACTTTGTTTTAAGACACATGTCATGAGAGGCGACTCATGTGCTGCCGGCCAGGCGGCGCTCCGGGCCAGGCCTGGAGAAGCGTTTCTCGGTGCCAGGCCTTCCCAGGCACCTCCCCTGGAGTCTCCTCCAATATTGGTTATTACAGAATGGACCATCATTGAGCATATTTTGTTTCGGTGTACCCCGCAAGCTCGGGCTGGGACGAGGCAGCCAGGTCCCTTGTTCTTGTCTGTGTGGTTTTCCTTGTGGTCGGGCTTTCCTTATTTGCATTTTAAGTCAATTACGGCAATTTGTGTTGTGCAGATCCTTCGGTTTCGTCGTCAACAAAAAACAAAACCCACGGAATGCCCTTTTTTCTTTCTGGGGTTTGATCAGACTCCGGTCGGCCTGAGAGACTGCCAGGCCAACATGGACAGCCGGGACCTCAACTTGAGGGCTCTGTGGGTCTTTCTCATGGTCCCCTAAGCGGGTTGGATTCTGTTTGGTTTCCCTACGCACCAAGGGGTCCATTTTGAGACTCCTCCATACGAGAGGCTTACAGGTGGGGTGCGAAGTTGTGAGAAAGAAGAATACATTTCATTTCTCTTTTGGATGCTGGGGAGTGACCAGGCACACTTGGGCGAACCATTTGCAGTAGAAATGAAAAATATATCTTTTGGCAGGGAGATGTTTGAGAGGAAAATGAAGGGCCTCAACTTCAGCGGTTGAGTGACTGAGCGCTTTGATCAGCTGCCGGGGGTTGGTGGCTTGGGGGGAGTGAAAACCACCTTTAGATTGATTGCCTGGGAGGTCCACTTGTTGCGGAGTTCACCCTTTATATTACATATATATATATATGTATACATATATCCTTTTTGTTTGTCTCTCAAAATGGAATCAACCCCAAAAAAGAAGTCCTTGGGCCGCGTGAACTTGTAGGGGGTCGCGCTTAGGGAATGATCAGCAACCCTGTGGCCCCTCAGCCATTAGGCAAAGCCAATGTAGGCAAGCCAGTTTCCGGCGAGTTGTTCAGCGCCCTCCAGTTTTGCGAGTTCCTTTCTGAAATGAAACGAATGGGCGACTCATTCCCTATCCTCTAGTTAACGCAGAGAAAAGGAGCACACAGGCATTCCCCAGGTTGAAGCACACATCATGGGATGGCACATGTTTCTGCTTGGAGTGCGACGCGCCTGCAAGTCCTTGAGGGTCAAACTGACGCATCTTGGCAGTCCAAAAGGCAGCCCATGCACCCGTGATCCGAGCCTGTGACCGCATCTGGACATTCTTCGCCCCACGCCAACCCCAACCCTTCCTTCTCAAATATATTCATCCACTTGAAGTTATCGGTCTTCAAAAGGTCATGCAAAAACCTGTCCTTTTCTTGGAATCCTGCGGGCAAGTGGGCTATTTCTTGGCCAAGAACTTTCAGCAAATATCATCACGGCGCAGTCGACGCCGCGCTCGATCTCGCCATGGACGACTTGGCGGGTCTCCGGCGCCGGCGGGCGGCGCAGTGGGAGGCTTCGAAGGCCGAGGCCGCGACCTCCGAGGCGGAGGCCGAGGCCCGGGAACCTTTGACGGGGTCTCTATGCCAAGCTCCGGGGGCAAGCCCAATGCAGCTTGTCCCAGTTCAGTGAAAGGGTCGTTGGGTTCAGGGTGTTGGCTTTTCTCAAAAGGAAGCCAACCTAGCATGAGTGATTTTGATTGTCCCACATCCCGCTCTTTGACTCTCAGACTGTATTCATTGCAGCCCAATTTAAACCATTTTCGTTTTCCCTGTTGCTTTGCGTAGGCCCCAGCCACGACATATTACAACCATGTTTGGAGAAGGCCCCTTTGAAGCAGGCAACAATTTTGGGTAGTTGAAGGTTAGACTTTGGGTCAGTCCCTTCGTCCCCTTGCCATCAACCATTGTCGAAAGTCATTTGCCGGCTCCCCGTGGCAGCCAAACCATCCCCAAGAGGAATGTGGGTTGTGCAACCTTCGTATGACTAGTTTAGATAAAGGTTCATAATGGTTCTAAGATCCTGGCATACTAATCCTAATAAATGGCTTCTAGGTGAGGTATGTTCAGCTTGGGTATGTAACACAGTTCAGTGGTACCCTGTCTTCGTTCCCTCCAACATAACAGCAAAAACAGCCGTGCCTGCCAGAGGTCTCACAAGCGACAAATGCGGAGACAGACGCTCGCCGGGAAAGCGAGGAGCCACCGGAATGCACAAAGCAGATGGGCCGAATCTGACATCTCAGTGTTCCCCCTTTTTTTCCCTTCTATGTGTTTTCTTTGTTCTGAATGTCACCCCATTGTGATGATACTTTACATACACCGAGAGGCACGCACACACCATTTTGGGGGGGTCCCCTACAAGGACCCCCTCCCAAGATCAGCAAGGTCCAGAAAAACCATGGAGGATGCCTTGGGCGGCCCCCTAGGAGAATCCAGTCCTCTCCATCCTTGGTCCTCTCATGTCATCTCCCGTTCTGGGCAATGGGACAGCAACAGGAAAGTAAAAGGAAACTGCCTTTTTTCCCTGACCTGGGCGGTTTTGTATCATTATGGAGGGTTTTGTATCATTACGGGGGACCCGCCTTGAAGTTTCTGAAGGGGAAGTAATCCTACCCTTTATGAGTTTGTCAAAGCTTGATTTTACAACACGTAGTAGTATTATTACCCAATGTGTCTGTTTCCAGCTAGCTGGGTTTCGCCTGTTGGAACAGCAGCCTTTGCGGCTAATTATGAAAAGAGTTTGTCTTGACAGAAGCAATGACTGGCAATAGCTTTGGGAGGCAGACGGGAGTCTTTAATCTTCGCGGGATCAGAGGGTCCCAAAAGCCGGAAGAAACGGGACAGTGTTGCAAAACCTTGTGGGCGTTGGAAGGCTAGCAGTCGCCTGAAAAAACGGGGTCATTTTATCAGATGACATTTCTCATTCCCTGCTCGGCTTTGAACTTAGATAGTTTGGTTCATTTCCTGGGCCCTGGTGGCAACTGAGACTGACAAGGTGGGGGTCTAACCGTACTTGGGGCATCTTGGGGCCCTCGCCACCCAGAAACTCGAATCCCGGACTGTCCGCCGCCAACCGCCACCCCAATTTCAATCTCAATCCTCCGCTCTTCTTGCTGGCCATTTTTTCTGCTCCTACACCTGTCCCTTTTCTTCATGCCTTTTCCCTAATATGCAACTGCTTCACGCTCTTCGTGCCTTTGTTCTCGTCGCCGTTATCCTCGCTCTTTTTCTCGCATGGCATCTATCCCTGCCCTTTTAAATGTTTTTGCTCCTCTTCTCACTTTGTCTCCCCTCTCATGTCCTTTCCTTTTGCTGGCTCACCCTCCTCGGGTTGCACATTGCACAGTCGTGCACATCTAGTGTGTTTGCTCCAGCTTTGCTCAAAAGCTCTCAAGAGCCTTTTGCGGTCGACGATGATTTCGGGGGTCCCAGCAAGCGGCCCCAATTGTGTCATAACCGCGCTTCCTCCAACTCCATCCTTCAAGCCTTTTTGCCCGACATCACCAGCCTTCTCAGCTTGGTTGGTTTGAACAACCAGGCCCTGGTGCCCCTAAAATCAACCAAAGGGGAGCTGTTGAACCGCTGAATATATCCAAAAAGCTTGGCCCAACCCTACTTCTCGCTGGAGGAGCGGTGCTGCCGGATTTGCTTCGACTCGGAGACTTCCGCAGAGACTGGGCGGCTCTTTAGCCCCTGTCGGTGCCAAGGCGGAAAGCCTGAATCCGCCTCGATTCTGCAAAAGATGTCCTTTTTTTTTTCCAATGGTTGGTGGCTCTCCATAAATAAGAATGAGCCCAAAAAGGGCCTCCTTCTAGCGCTATTGGAGAACTGGGTCCATGCTGAATTCTTGTTTCCTTGCTGTCGTGGCGTTCTACAGATGCTGGATTAGGATTGGGATCCCCCAATTTTTGGAACAACCCAGGTTGACTTGGCACATGAGACAGGTGGCAAAACGATGCAAAGGGACCACCACTAGACACATGCTCGGAAAAATGGCCCGCTGTCAGGTTAACATGGAACAAATAGTTGTTGGGAGGACAAGCATCGTATGTTTGGCATAACATAGAGCCGGAGAAGCCGGTGGTCGGAAGTTTCTAAAAAAGAACAAGTTTAAAACACGCTCGTGCGTTTAGCGCAATTCGGCTTGGAAACTGGACCCACAGGAACCCAAGAAAAGGAATCTTGTGAAGGAGATTCCTCCATGCACTGTTGCGTTCCGTGCGAATCTACCCTTGTTGTTCCCGATTGGGGTAGCGCTTCGGGGAAGTCATGTCAAATTAAAGGGCCATGAAGAGACTCTGCAGGCAGCATGCGCTTTGTCCACGTGAGTTGCCTGAACAATTGGCGGGCCGCCTCTTGCAACGAGAGGCGCGGGGCATGGTGCAATTGGCGCCAGGCCGTTTGACTTTTTGTTGTTTAATGGGAACCCCGGATGACTGAGCCCATCCTACTAATAGGGGGGCGTCACCCACCAAAATGAAGGATTCCCACTTACCTGGCCTCCCCCTATTAAGCAACCAGGCGTTTACTACTCCAGGATTAGTGGTAACATGTTTGGTTGGCCAAGGGCGTAGCACATGTTTGTTTGGTGGCAAGCCCTGACAAGCCAAAATGCCTCGACAAGCTCATGAACTAGTTGGAACTTTCGGGCTGTGTGGTTCTGGTTTTCTTGTTGCAACCCATTCCTAGGCTCTCCAGGTGTTCATTTTTCCGCCGCTTGCTGAAAAAACAATATGTTTTGTGTGGTTTGCTCCAAAAAGAACCGGTTCCTTTTAAAAGTGCTGCGTCAAAATCTTGCCAGAACGTGGTCGGCAAATGTCGCTTTATGGCCGGGGAATGTCGCCTTTGGGTCGGGCAAAGTCGCCTTTTCGTCTTCATCCTGGTTTGGCAAAACGGCAAAAATCACAAAAATGCATTGAGGCAGACACATGAGTAAAACATGTGTCGTTTGCTCCCCAAGGAGCCTTTGGCCGAAACAGCACAACACAATGCACACTTAGGAGGGCCCAGGTTTGTAAACGTGGCCCCAAGGATCAATCTGTCCCCCTGCTCTTGGTTTGTGTTATAGTTTGTCCCTTTGTTTCATGAAAAGGGCGGGGGGGGGTTGTCAACAGGCAAACCCTTGCTTGAAGAAACAGGGCTGTTGTGTTGGAGCGCTTTTGCCGCTCTCAAGCTTGGAGAAAGGCGGCAATGGTGACGAAGCTTGTTTGCGACGCCAATTGCGCCAAGCAGAAAATTATGCCCTTGCGACTCAGCCGGCATTGTGGAACAACAAAAGCATCCCTTGTAGAGGACTTCTCTTTCAGGATTCGACATGTTTCTAGGCTTCTATGTATGCTTTCAAGGGCTTACTGCGAAGCACGCCTTCTGTCTTTCCCTGAGCGTCAAAGCTAGCTTGCTTCCTGTTCATTGGAAAGATTCAAGCGATCTTCCCATCCTCCCCATGCATGCTCCTGTGCTGTTGCCACCCTTTCTGCGATACACGTCGGTACACCTAGTACTAATTTAGACACATGCTCGGTATTTCCAAGGCATCTCATTTTAATTTGGAAATTGCGCAGTGCTCTCAATATTCTTCAAAAAAAGGAGAGGTTGACCTTTGCGCCGTTGTCAAAGGATGAATGTTGAGTTCGGATCAAAACGATTAAGGATTGAGCCCCTAACCTGTGAAAACTAAAAAAACAAAGGCACCTGAAATAGAGACAAGGTCCCCCCTGGGCAACCCCAACAAGGAAGTAAGCTCCAGCACTACTAGGTCACATGGAAATCCAATCCAACAGTTCTACATTAGATTCTACATCAAGTGGAGCTTTGGAAACTCAAATGAAAGTCTCAAAAGAAAGCTCCAGCAATACTAGTCAAATGGAGATTCCATTCCAATCTTAAACGGAACCTCCTGCAATACACGTCTATTGAACTGGACCTTGAGATGTTAATCTAGGCATTTCCTTTGTTAGGGGGGCTTTACACATCCCAAGTCACCACGAAAAGGGACCAACAGCTTGACAGGGGCTAAAAGGTTGAATTGCATCAACATGGTCGAAAGGGGCCAAAAGGTTGAATCGAAAGGCAGCAAATGGTACCGTACCCTTCCACCAAACGTGGTGCATAGACTTCCATTCGAAGAGGAAGCCCGTCTCCTAAATTGCTCGGGAGGTCGTACTACAGCTGCGACGCTTGCCACTACGAGTATCGACTGCAGCGGCTTTGGGTGGCAGACGTCCTCCTCTCTGCAGGCCGCTGGAGGAATTGGGAGAGACGATGGCAGCTGTATGTTTCAGATTGGATTGTGCAGGGCTGATGGCCGCCACTCACACGAGAGAGTATATTATAAGATTTGACAAGAAGCAGGGAGCGAGCCCAAAATTTCCCATGCCACCTTGGGGTTTCCTTAATTAGTTTTCCTGTGGATTTGCATAGGCTGCTCAATCAGATTTTTACATCTGCCATTCTTCATCTGAGAATCAACTGGGTCTCCCACTTGAAGCCCCGTTAGCCGGAGGCTTTCAGCTGGCCGTGAACTTGGGGCTCTTTGCGCTCAGCGCGCTGCTGGGTGGAGTGGCTTGCTACCACTTGGCGCCGCAGGCGCTGCCCTCGGAAGACTGACATGGGCCCCTTGAAAGATGCCAGCTGCCCGTCAACAAGTCAGTTTTTTACCAGCTGATTTAAGAGGAAGGCCTGTGTAACAGCGGGCGGTGAAAGGGCAGATTGGAAGGGCCCCGAGTCCAAAATCACATTCTGTTTGGGGGAATATCCTTTGGGTTTGGGTTCGATGTCACTTGAAGGGGAGTATGTGTCCCTTTGAGCCAGCTCTGGCTTCACCTTCAGGTTGCCAACCTTTCCTGTGCTTCCTTGAGGTGATGTTGTAGGGAACCTTGAGGTTGAATAGCTTCGGCTAAAGTGTTGCTGATGGCCCGCCCCGAAACATGATTCTTGGGGGCGGCTTTCACCCCATCCCGCGTGTTTGGAGTGTGTATCCTAAGTGATTTGATCCAAAGCCAGTGGAGGACGGTAGTTGCCATGGACAACCTTGTTTTCCAAACTGTATACCCTGAAGCACATGAGCAGCACCCAAGCCCTCAACGTCCGTTTCAGCAAAGGCTCCAGTTGCTTGGAAAGTCAACAGGTTTTTGGCGCTGCTCAGCTGGGTATTTGGAGATGAGATGAGGGTCCTGTGCTGAGGTGCTAGACCTCGCGCTGGACCAGCTGTACCTTCCACCTGTCCTGCGCTTCCTCTTCTCGCGAGCTGGCGCGGACCAGACAAGCGGCAACGCGGCCTGCTGGCGCGATGGGTACACCTTTGAGGCAGGGGGGAGGGGGAGGGGGCAGGCTTGTATTTTTTCGGGGGCGGAGGGGGAGGGCATGGGGAGGGATAGAGGGGTTTCAGATTTCAGAGGGGTACTGTATGCGACAAAACACTACCACTTAATAGTCCTTTGCTGGGTGCTTTGAACACCTTTCTTGGTTTTCAATGTTGTTGGACGTTCCTTGTGGCGGGACCTTACCTTAGTCGAGGCGTGAGCTATTGGCTGGAGTCTTGCTTTCCGAGTATGCCAATCCCAGTATGTTCCGCAGAAGGGGGCGCCCTACAACAGAGAACCCTTTTTGGGATGATGACTTTTGGGATGGTGAAAAGGGAAAACCAGCCAGGGATTCTGCTCGCTGTTTGATCTGATAGTGGCAGCCTCATCGGCCATCGGAACCCGCCAGCGCTCCGCTGCGAACTAGGATGGAATCCTAAAACGGGTCCCACGGGAGTAAAGTGAGCAACTTGTCTGGAGCAAACCCAGAGACGCCTTGAGGCCTGCTGCGGGCGGGGCGCGCCTGGTAATCCCGCCTGCTGGGATGATCGGCACAGCTGGGAGTCTTGTTGCGAGGCTCGCGGAAGCTCAAGTTGCCAGAGGTCCCACTTGACAACACGGAACCCTCATTCGAATGATTAATTCAGTGAGCTGGCCTTGCTATAGTGCCGTGGCAATTCCCACAACGCAACTGTTTCCACAGATCTTACAAAGTTGTCAATCTAGCAGGTGTTGCACAACTTCGTTTGGAGCTTGAACTTTTTGGGCATTGAGGGACAATCTTGATGGTGATTACTCCAAATCCAACTCTGAGCAAATATCTTAAATTGCACCCTGAAAAGACCAGCTACCAGACCAGCTTTTTCTTTGCGGCCCCCGCGAGGGTAAACAGTTTCCGCGAGGCCCTCCCAAACATGGGGAAGTGCACGGGGCCCAAAACGGAAGACGAAAACGGGTCCCATGGAGTTCTGTGGTGTGAGGGAAGTTTTCGAGTGCATCCAACTGTGGGAAATGTTTACCTTTTTGCTTCTGGGCCCAAAGAGCAAGCGGGGGGGGAAAAAGAGCAGGGGACCTCAATGTTTTGGAAGGTGCCCGCGCTCCTGAATGCAGCCCGGACCTACCTCGGCTATTTGCTGCGCGTCTTGTTTTGCGGAGGCGCGACGAGCCGCCTGGGGCCTTTTTCGGGCAAACAAAAGGCACGCCGGAGTCCCATTGAGGGTCCGATTCCCCTTTTGAGACGCCCAAATAGTGTCCGGCTGGTCAACCAGGTCTGGATCAGAAGAGGGTCTCCATTAGGTGGCATATGTCCTTGGCCAGGGCGGGGGGACATGACTTCTGGATTGGGGTTGGGATGAGGTGCCTTTCTGAAATCCGGACCCTCTTGTTGGGTTGTCCGAGTTCATGGATCACACGGGTCTAGAGGCTGCAGGGCTCCTTTTGACCTGCTTGCTGAAACATGCTGCCGAGCCAGATGCAACGCAGCGAGGCCGTAAGATCTCTCTCTCTCTCTCTCTCTCTCTCTCGTCTCTCCATCTACATGTTTTTAATTTTGATTTTACTAAATATGGTTCAGCCTCAAACATTTGGCGGCAAAAGCTGAGGTTGTGGTTTGGAGACAGGGCAAAAACAAGTAGCCAGGTAGGGATTGAGACAGATGGCTTGCCTATCCGTTTCAGGCGCTTTCAAAGCACACCCGGTTGCCCAGCCATTTGAGGTTGGGGATCAAAGGAGTTCCCGGGATCAGGTCAGAAAGAGAAAACATTCTGCTTTCCTGAGGTACATGCCCCGAATAGAAGCTCATATGCAATGTACAGATAGCAATTGTATTAGTTTGCTTATGTAACTAGTTATGTATTTATTCATACTTTGTTACTGCCCCGCTTGTACTCCTTACACACCCCTCATGGAAAGGTTCACATCCCCCCCCTTCCGGGTTTGAACCAAGCATTTGTTTGAGGCCTGGAGCGGCAAGCTCCGCGTCCGATCCCTTTCAGAGCGATTCGGATCGGCAGGTCTGGGATTGGGAGTGCTGGGCTTCGGGCTGTACCTGAAGCGCAGCTTGCAAGAGCTGCACGGCACAGGATCCGGCGATTCCGGTGGCCGCGCGCATCCATAACTGTCCTTTTTCAATGACCCCTTCGACGTCCCAATAAGGAGGGGGTAAAGGGGGGAGTTATGGAGTTGGGGGTTTTGGATCCTGTGATGGTTGTGGTTCCCGCGCATTCCCCCCTATAGATGCAATTGGGGGAGGGGTGAGGCTTGAAAGGCAAGGCTGGCATGGTGTGACTCCCTCAATGTTACCCTCTAAAATGGCAAGGGAACCCGCCCGGACCACTCGAAGGCACTGGGATGGTTGCGGCTTCCGTGTGCTTTTAAGTGACACTCTCGGGGGCAGGGGCCAGTGGCCCTCGAACTGATCGTTGGCTTTAGGCTTATGGTTGCGGAGCATTCTGTGATAGGAATATGTGGGCAATCCGCTTGAGAATGCTCTTGTGCAGGTTAACATGGAAGCCAAAAAGAGTTTTTGTAGAGGAACCTCCTTTTGGGGAACCCCCTTTTCATAGGCCCTTCTGCCCCCTCTTCGTCCATCAGTCGGGGTCTTGTCCCCTTTTGGGGAAGGCCCGGCCCTTTGCACCTTTGCAGTCGGCCCTCTTGCGAGAGTGCGCAGGCGGCAACTGGCAAATCTTTCTGTTCGTGGCGTACCTCTCTACCTTTGGGCAGGCCCGGGCCTTCGATCAGAAAATGCCCAGAGCTGCGCGAAGACTCCCATTCCGCAAAAGGCGACCCACCAAAAGCAATGGGTTCGGGTTAATCTGCGCGGCCTCAAAGCTGCTTCCACGCTTTATTGGTTTACAACTCGTTCTTGAGGTTTTGGCGGCACTTAAGGCCGGATGCCGGCTGGCGCCTGGAGTACCTGGTACCTGGTCATCCCCAGCGTATGATGGGTGTGGAGAATGGTCCGATCCAGGTGATTGTTTGGGAAAGGCCACGGTGCTTTCAACACACCATGTAAGAGGGTGTTCAAAACCTAATCCCCAATGAATAACGCATTGAGGATTGTTCGGTTTACGGATTAGATCATGCGGCTTGAGAATTAGAGATTATGGGTTGCTCGGATTGTCCATGCTCCAACAAATGGTTTTGACCCACAGTTTGCAGCGCGGATTACGGATTAAGAAGATTACACACCAAAACAAGGATTGAGCGGATTGCGGATTGCGTGCATGAACCCTATGGTAGGCCAGCAAGGGCCGAACATGGGAAGGTTCGGTCAAAATTGGTAGGGGGCTCACTAAGCTTATCCACAAAAAGCAGAGAACTCACTGACTGCCAACACATAGTCACATAGGGCCTTGGGCCTTGTGACGACATTAACGACAAATCAAAACAGACCCTGCGTCTTGGTGTCATTTTGCAGCGGCCTACTGCCTTCCCGAAACAGGATCTGATCGGCACCAAACTCGGCTCCGACATGTTACGCAACTTTGGGCAAGGGGTTGGATTTGGATTCGAACCCCTGATTGTTACAAGAGCACCTGGAAAACCACCGCCCAAAACTCCCAACCATCCATCCAAACCATCAATTAGAGGGAAGCTGACCTGCTAAGAACTTTTTTTATTGGCCAAGGGGTGGACATCACATCAAAAACACCCACCAAATGTGACTCGCCCGACCGGAGGGACCAACCCCCCCCCCCCTGGGGAACACTGACACCGACAAAAACAGGTTTGTTTGGGAGGGTGGCAGATGCAGCTTTACAAAAGTAGAAAGTGTCATTTGCCGCGTCCATGGCCATGGTGGTTTTTGAAAGGATAAAAGCGAGGGAAGGCAGTTGCTTGCGTGAGGGAAATCTTGGGAACGCAAAACGCAGCACCCCGATCCTGAAGGGAAACCAAGAACTCAATGTCGTTTCAACTCCCTTAGTTCTGGAGCAACTTAAAAGGGATGGAATGGATGGAACATCTTTTGGTTTTTGCCTACGCCAAAAAGGGCCCTATGACGCTATGCAAAATGAAATGTGGCCCTCCGCCAACCCGGGACGTCAGGCCTTGGCGCGGCTGGTGGTGTTGCTGGGCTGCGCTGTGGCCTGGCGGGAGCTGTTTCTGCAGCTCCAGTTTCACTGCGCCTTGATCCGAAGGGAGAGCGGCCCTAACCTCAGCGTTTTTTTTTTTTTTTTTTGCGGGATGCCATGGGATACCTTATGATACCTTTCTTGCTTACTGTTTGTTTTTTATTACTATTTGTTTGCATTGTTTTTTTTTTTTTTTTTTGGGGGGGGGGTGAGAGGGGGGGGGGGGGGAAATCAGGAGTCGGGTCAAAACTGTCCCCCCAATCAATCATCATAATCAAATTGGGATGTCTCTCAACGTGGTGTGTTCAAAGTCTGACCTGACCTGGCTGTGGGTTCATTTCTGGAGCTTGGGGATGTGGATGGTGGGTGACCGCCCAGGCAAGCGCCTTAGCGGAGAGCTGGGGGAGCGCATCCTGGAGGTGGCGTGAGGTGAGACGAGATCGAAGGAGAAAAGGACACCAGCAGTTGCCGTTGCTAGAGGGAGACCAAGACTAGGGTCCTAGCCCCTCGCAAAAAAAAAGGGGGCAGAAGGAGGTGCTTTCGGGTGTTGAAACAACTGCCTTTTGGGCCTCAAAATCGCCATTGTGAGAGCAGCTTGTTTGTTAATCAATATTAAGGTCTAAAAACAGGTTTGGGGTTGGAAAATCAGGGTCCGACAAACCCCAGCTGTGTTCTCACGGGCTCCCCCTGAAAGGAAGAACTCACCATTAAGAAGGGACCCCGCTTAAAACTAAGTCAGGGGGTTGATCGGGGTTTAACATTGCAGAGGCAATCAACCACATAACACCTGTGTGAGAACTTCCTCATCGCATCCTTTGGTGCATCCGAATCGTCTGGGAAAGGTGACTCAGGTTTGGCAGGGTGATGATATACAACACCCACGGTGCACACCCAAAACCTTACAAAGTGCAAGGTTATCTCAGAAACGAGGTTTTCCGAAAGCGCGGGTTTAATGCGGGTGAACTATTGGTTTCGGCACGGGTTCCGCGAAACAAAGCCGGGGTTTTGTCGTCAAACCTGGGGGCATGTGGAGGGGGCATCCATGGGTGAACCCAATCACCCAAAGTATCACACCCCCTTTGCTCGAGTGGATCCACATAAACCCAGGAGCAGAAGGTTATTCGACTCCCCAAAATAGTAGCTTTCCTTTGGTTCCCAACAGGGTTCCCCCAAAAACAAGACAAGCTCACGGTTTTCTTTCCGGCGCCGAGACCCCTTTGCGGCGTTCATGGGCGGCATGGGTGGCATGGGTGCAAAGGAGAAGCCGAAGGCCAGGCATGGGCATCGCTTCCTTCCCAGCCGGGCCAAACAGCCAGTTTTGTTTTGTTTGGGACGCTCTAAAGTGGCCAATCCTAAGAAATGGGAGTTCTGGGCTGGTGAAGCATTGCCCACACTTCGGCAACGCCCTTTCGATGTTTTCTTCCAACATGTCCAACGGGAGTGACATGCCGCCCTAATTATTGACTTCCTGACATGGCCTGTTTTTTTCAGTCAACCCCCGTATTTGGCCGCATTTGCCCCAGTGGCATTTTTCAGGTCATTCGCGTATACGACCCGTATAAAGCCCACATTGCCAACACCAACACGTATATGACATACTTCTCCCCCATCAAAGCCGTATGACTCCAAAGATGACCATATGGGGTGCCTGGGCCAAGCTGTTGAACTTTGTGGGAACCCGGGGTCCTTGCGGAACCTTGAGAGAGAGAGAGAGAGAGAGAGAGCGTTTTTGTTTGCTTCAGGTGCAGGCTCCATCCAGCTACTGTAGAAAAGGAAGAGAGCAATTAGGACACCTGGCAGAAAAAGAAAGACCACTTGTGTTGCCCGCTTCGGGGCTACACCCCCACATGGTTTAGGTGCCTGTGACACAAACCTAATCAGCAACCATCATTTGTTGGGATTCCCCGAAAAATGGGTTCCCTTTTCGGCTACCTCATGGTCACTGGTTGCACGGGGGGGAAGGCCAATGGTTGCAACTGTGCGGCACCGTACGCAGGCAACTGACGCGTGGTTCACGGAGAAGGCGCAGGGCAGACGTGAAGACGTCGGACGCGGTTCCCATTCCCGCCCAACTCCCAGGCGCACTTATAGGATACATTTGGGCAGTTGGAAATCACTTTTGCACCGTTTGAGGGACCCTACCAGCTAAGTGCCAAGTGCCGAAAAGCAATCCCAAAGTTGGACGGAGATACAATTTACCAGACTCCTTGGTTCACACCCAGGCAGTCATATTTGGGCTTCTTTGCCCAGGCTCCAACAGCCAAAGCTGAACTTTTGGGGGAGAGCTGGGACTCTGGGCTTTGCAGGCTGACAGAAGCCTTGGATCTTTGGGCGTTTCCTGCCATTGCGGGTTCGAACCTCATCCTTCCTCGGCTACTGACAAGGGTGCCCTTTATTTGCGGTGCCTTCCACCCTTTGCCAGATGTCATGGCGAAAAGCATGACAAGGTGTCCAGAGACAGAGGTCAGCGTTTGTTTTGCGCACTCTTGACTCTCACCGACTCAGAGGTATTGACACTAGAAGCACACCCGAGTGCGTGCTTTGTGGGAAGAAAGAAACAAATCTGCAAAGCTACCAGCAGTGGCGAAGGGAAGCCTAGCTACAGTGGAGGCCCAGCATTACTGCATGAGCTTAGGGTCCCTTTCATTTGCAATACTTTGGCTCGCTAACTTTCAGAATGTCAGGAATCCACAATCTTGAAGACATGGCAAAGAGGGCAATCTACGTTGTAGCAGTAGCCTGCAAGCCTTCCAAGCCGGTAATTTCTGTGCTTGGTGGCTAACCACTTCAGTTGGCTGACAGTACTTTCATGGTCCGAACCTCAAAGCAATCACCAAACAACAACAAACAGCAGTGATATCGCACTGTGCCAGGGTCCTTGGAGCAAATCTGATTCGCTTCGAACCTGTCAGGGACAGCACAGCTCTTAGACGGTTGGGGGCTTCACGTTCCTTTGCGGCTTGCTGGAATTCTCAAGTATCCTGACGCCCCCTTGGTAAGCCTCCCGGAATACCACAAGCTCCCGACAAGCCCCTTCCCTCTCTTCCCACTTGTGCAGTTCCCGATCCTGCAGCGGATCAAACGGCCAGTGTCGGGAGCCAAGTTTGTGATCTGGGATGTTTCACGTTTGTGTCCCCGTGAATGATGCCTGAGTTTTTGTTCGTGTGTAGATGAGGGGCGGGTTCCCAAGGCCGATTTTCTTTGGCAATTTTAGGTGGTTCGGTTCCTGCCTGGTTCATGGGGGATTGCAAGGCCTATGAACACCGTTTAAGACCATGTTGGGTGAACCAACAGATGGGTACCTGGGTGCAGGTGGCCGCTCAAAAGTAAACTGCTGATGATTGTTCCTTGTTTTTGTTTTTTAAATATTGTTTGCTTTCCTTCACTAAGTGGGTGCTAAATTCCTTGTGGTTTGCCAGGGCTTAGGATGGCCTGCGCTGCCACGCCTCCAAGCAATATGTTTTTCCAGTCCCATGTTTGTTGACCTCCCCTTTAGCGGTACGAAGAAAACATGAAACTTGGTCGCAACAAATGTGAATAAGCCTTTTGGCTTGTTCGTGGGCCCCGTGTATTGGATTCGGCTGAGGATCATCGCATTTTTCGCCTTCAGCTTCTACAAGGGCTGGGTTGGGCGCGGGGCCTCGGCGCCCGCGTGACGCTCGTTTAGAGGGGTTCCCCGGATTGATAGGGCGGCGGCTAGGGCCCTCCACCTTAGCACATGGGTTGTAAGTTCGTGTTTGTTTTGAGAGGCTGGGTTCAAGGAACCAATCTGTCCCATAGTGTGCGAGCGAAAAGGAGAGGGAGAGAGAGAGAGAGAGAGAGGGAGGCAATGCTTAGTTTGTGCCAGCTTCCAACTTACGCATGTTCAACCACAGATTTGTTGTGTCTTGTTACATGTGTGCATGTCCACATCCATATGTAGAAGCAAGCGGGGAAGGAGGACCTGGCCATTTATATTGGGCTTGGTACTTCCAGGAAAAATCCCTGTGGAAAGCGCAACCTCTGCCCAACGCCGGCGTTGACACAATTCCGGCAGCTCCGGCCCGGCTTGTGAGAGGCGGTGGGGCCTCGTTTTCGGCTGCATGCCTGGGCCTCGGAGACGTGGTTGGGTGGTTGGGGGCGGGAGAGGGTTCTCTGTATTTCTCCTGTTGTGGTTGGAACACCATGCGGGGCAATTTAATCAAAGTGAGTTTTTTTCGTATGGTGGGTTGATGTTCAAGGGGGAAATTGAGGGAGCTTTGTGGGAAAGCAGTTCGAAGTTGTTGGAGCAAGACCCCACGCCACTTCGAAGGGAAGCACACGGATTTGTGCTCTGGTGACACTGAAAGCTGACAAAGCACAAACTTAAATGCTCCCAAAATGCAAATTTGCGCAATGTGGCTGTGTCGCCAAAAAGGCGTGCTGGGCAAACACTGCGAGAAACCAAAAGGGTCGCCGGGGCCCCTTCTTTTTAACACCCAGCCTGACCCATCTGACTCATTTGTGGCTGTCCTGGCCCCGAAAGGCAAGTTGTCTGGCCCATGGTTGCCCTTCCGCCATCCCCTGCCATCTCCCACAGATAAAGATGTTTCCTTTCACGCTCCAGACTTGGCTTGACTGGCTTTTGCAGTGTTTCCCTTTTTGGTGTTCCTTCACTTGCCCTTTCAACCATCAATAAGTCAACTTTTGCAGGGGTCCACTAGTGAGAAACATAGATGCCACAATTCCCTCAACAATGGGTAAGTCAGGGGGAAAACTAAACCAATTTTGGGACATGTGCCCTCTACTCTTATCCAACTGCCAGCCCAGTTCAGACTAGCCCATACTCTTCGTAGTCACCTCTCTACGGTTCCGAGGGCCAGCTCCTACTGGGACATGCTGGGTGTGCCCCTGCGAGTCTCTGAGAGGATGGGGAACTGGGGGGGCTGGCAGCGGGTGCAGTGCCAGGATTGCAGGGATGTTCATTTCCTCAGGTAGGCAACTTTAGCAGCCTATAAGGACCTTCGGATCAATGAGGCGCTTCTGGCGATGAGCTGCTTAATTAGCCGCAACTAGGGATATTACCTACTCGCCGCATCCTCTACAGTAAGTACGATGAGTGGGTGTATTTTCCCGGAGTTACTAGCCGCTAGCTGATGACCTCTATAAAAAGCCTGAGAATCGCTTTTTGAAGCTTGCGTTGGAATCCTCTTTCCGCGACAGGTGTTGCCTGACATTGAATTTGGATGCAAGAAAAGGGGCCTGGATGGCCTGGGTTTCGAGTTTCTTCGCACATGGGAAGAACACGTTTAGGGTTCCTTGGCCATGGTCAATAAACTGCAGCTCACGCGTCCATCACGCGCCCCACTTGCCTCAAGAGTGCCTGGCAGGAGCCCATTCACAGGCAAGGCCTACATGGTGACTCAGATCTACGCCCGGTGGCCGATCTCAATGTTTTCCAAGAGATCTGGCGCCGATTTGTCTCTTTTTGCT